CGGCACTATCTTTGTAAGGAAATCTGCGGCATTGTCATCCGTATGAACCTTTTCAATCCAAATCTCCTTAGACTCCACCCAATTTTTGATTCTATAATACCTTGCTTCAATGTGCTTTGATCTTCCAGAAAAAACTTGATTCTTTGCCAAGTGATTCGCACTTTGACTATCACACTTCAGCTTCACACAATCTTGGGTGATTCCCATTTGACTTACCAAGCCATTAAGCCAAATTGCTTCCTTTCCAGCTACGGCCAATGCAATATACTCTGCCTCTGTGGTCGACAAAGCTGTAATTGGTTGCAGTAGTGCCCTCCAACTGATTGGTCCTCCTGCACATGTAAACACATAACCAGAAGTTGACCTTCTCTTGTCCAAGTCCCTTGCATAATCGGCATCTACATATCCCAACACCCCCGCATTTTCTTTTTGCTTCTCAAACATAATCCTTCGTCGCCAAGAACCCTTCAAATAACGCAAAATCCACTTGACTGCATCCCAATGTTGCTTTCCTGGATTTGCCATGTATCTGGAAACAACACTGATTGCTTGAGCTATGTCAGGACGTGTACATACCATTGCATAAATAAGGTAGCCCACAGCATTAGCGTAAGGCACCTTCTCCATTACTTGCTGCTCTTCCTCGGACTTAGGACACTGTTGCCCACTTAACTTGAAGTGAGCTGCCAAAGGAGTCGAAACTACCTTTGCTTCTTGCATGTTGAACTTCTCAAGAACCTTATGAATATACTTGGCTTGTGATATCCAGATCCTTCCAGCAGTCCTATCTCTCTGAATTTCCATGCCAAGGATCTTATGTGCTGCACCTAGATCCTCCATGTCGAACTCCTTGCTCAACATCTTCTTCAAGGCTTGAATTCTAGATTTGTCTTGACAAGCGATTAGCATGTCATCCACATATAGCAATAGCAATATGATCATCCCATCTTGGAACACATGATAGTACACACAACAGTCATATAAACATCTTCTAAAATTGATTTTCAGCATGAAGTAATCGAACCTCTTGTACCACTGTCTTGGAGACTGTTTCAGGCCATACAGGGACGGACTTAGCTGACATACTAGGTTCTCTTTCCCATATTCAACAAATCCTTCTAGTTGAGCCATGAAAATTGTCTCCTCTAGATCCCCATGAAGAAATGCTGTCTTCACATCCATCTGCTCAATCTCCATGTCATGCTGAGCTGCCATTGCTAAAAGCAATCTGATAGAAGTTTGCTTGACTACGAGTGAAAAGATCTCATCATAATCCACCCCTTCCTTTTGTGAGTACCCTTTAGCCACGAGCCTTGCTTTGAATCTCACGGCATCTTGTTCATGTAGTCCTTCCTTTTTCCTAAATACCCACTTGCATCCAACTAGCTTTCTGTCTTTGGGCTTAGGAACCAACTCCCAAACAGAGTTCTTGTAAAGAGACTCCATTTCTTCTGTCATAGCACTTATCCAACTATCTCGCTCATCACTTGCTATAGCTTCTCGATAAGTAGTTGGATCTCCTTGACTAATGTTGAGAGCGTAATTAACTTCATCTTGGTCAAACCCAAACCTGTCAGGTTTCTTCTTGTTCCGATTAGGTTTGTCCAGTGCTATGCATCTCTGGAATGCAGGTGGATTGTTGGTTGGAGTTCGAACCCTTTGGGATGTCTGGCGGATTAGAGTGCCTTCAAACTGCCCTGTTTCTTGCTCCACCTGATTCCTAACTGGTGAACGATGCTGATGCTCTTCTTCGTTCGAACCCTTTGGGATGTCTGGCGGATTAGAGTGCCTTCAAACTGCCCTGTTTCTTGCTCCACCTGATTCCTAACTGGTGAACGATGCTGATACTCTTCTTCCTCAAAACCATCAGATTCGGCATCTTGCTCAATTTGCTCCACCTGAGCTTCTTCTTCATCTGAACTGATTAACGAAATCTTTGTTGCTTCAATTTCAACATCGTCTTTCTTCTCCCTACTTCTCTCGACTTTATTCAGAGGCATGGTTGTCTCATCAAAGACAATGTCTCGGCTGACAACCTTTTTCCTATTGTTGATATCCCAAAGCTTGAAACCCTTCACTCCTTTCTCAAAACCTACGAATATGCAATGTGTAGACTTTGGTTTGAGCTTGGATCTTTCATCACTTGGAATATGTGCGTAAGCACTACAACCGAACACCCTGAGCTTAGAATAGTCCACCGGCTTCTCAGACCATACCTCTTCTGCACTCTTAAAACCGAGAACTATAGATGGTGATCTGTTAATCAAATAACTTGCATGATTAACAGCCTCTGCCCAAAAACTATCAGGCAATCCTGCATGAAATCGCATGCTCCTCTCTCTCTCTCTCTCCATGAGAGTTCGGTTCATCCTCTCAGCAGCTCCATTTTGTTGGGGATTCTTCTTTATTGTGAAGTGCCTTACAATGCCTTCCTGTTTGCAGTAATCGGTAAACTCATTACTTGTATATTCACCTCCATTGTCACTTCTCAGGTACTTGATCTTTCTTCCAGTTTGATTCTCGGTTTCTGTTTTCCATTCCTTGAACTTCGCAAAAACCTCGGATTTCTGCTTCATGAAATAAATCCAAACCTTACTAGAAAAATCATCCATGAAAGTAACAAAATACCTAGCTCCACCATTTGATTTGGTTGGTGCAGGGCCCCAAACATCTGAGTGAATATAGCTGAGTTGCTCCTTGCTTCGGTTATCTGCACTGCTACTCGCGAATGATACCTTCCTTTGCTTTCCAAGAACACAATATTCACAAAAGTCCAGTTTGCAAGATGACAAGCCTTCCAACAGGCCTTGCTTGTGTAATTCTTGCAACCCTTTCTGGCTTATGTGCCCGAGCCTATGATGCCAGAGTTCAGTCTTGTCTTCTATACCTTGATTTACAGAAACAGCTGCTCCCCCGACTATAGTGGTCCCAATTAACTTATATAGCTTATTGGGTTGTAGGTCACCTGCATTACCACCAGTGATCCTTTGGCTACCCTGAGTCTTCCCTTTTTAGACTCGTACCCATAGCCGGCCTCATCTAAAGTACCCAAGGAAATCAAATTCTTTCGTAGTCTAGGGACATACCTAACGTTCCCCAAAGCTCGTATCATCCCATCAAACATTCTGATTCGAACAGTGCCGATTCCTTTTACAGGACATGCAGAATCATCCCCCATTAAAACTTCCCTACTGCTGACTTCTTTGTAAGTATCAAACCATTCTCTTACTGCACACATATGAAAAGTGCATTCGGTATCCAAAATCCAATTTGCGAAAGCCTTGGAGCCTGATGTTACTGAAAGAAGCTCCCCGTCACTCTCATGCTCGGTGACTGCACTAGCTGAACCTGAACTTCCTTCCATCTTGGCTTTCTTCTCTTTCCAAATCTTGCAGTTCCTCTTCCAATGATCGGCTGAACCACATACGAAGCAACCTTCCTTCTTTTCCTTTTTCTTCTTGGATTTTGACCTACCTCTGTTGCCTGTTTTCTCTTCCTTGGTCTTTTCCCGCCCCCTCTCCGTGCCTTTGGCATAAAGGCCTTGAGAGCTTTCAGTTATATCATCTAGTTTAGCATATGACTGAAGAGCTTGAATTACGTCTTCAAGCTTGAGGGACTCTTTTCCAAACATTAGAGTTGTTCGAAAGTGCTTGAAAGACGAAGGTAGAGACCTCAGCAAGATGATAGCCATATCATCATCTTTGTAAGTTTCTTCGACCTTTTGAAGATTAGTTATGCAATTCTGGAACCTGCATACGTGATCTTCAATATCACCTCCTTCTTCCAGTCGAAGTCCGAATCGTTCATCCTTTAGAAAAAGTTTATTGGACACGGTTTTGCCCATATAAACATTCTCCAACTTTGTCCATGCTTCATGGGCAGTCATCTTTTCAGTGATGTGTGACCGAACTGATCTTGTGAGATGGATCTCGATGGAACTCTTGGCCTTCTTGAGAACCTTAGTCCATGCTGCGTCTGTCATGCTTGTCGGCTTCTCACCGTTGAGTGCATCATCCACATCTTGCTGTATCAGTACGTTCTTCATCATCCTTTGCCAATCCGTGAAGTCATCCTTGCCGTCAAAAGGTTTTAACGCGGGTCC